CTGTTGTTAGGATATCAGAAGGCACACTTTTAGTAGACTTATCGACTTGTCAAGATATCGGAAACGCTACACCTTTCCGGCCATTCTTAAATCTTTTCAGCCTAAATATCTTTGCCTTAGAGTATGTCGATGTTTTTTCAATACAATCGTTCTTCTATTTAATCTGCAGCAAAATGCACACGCGCACTCATATAATCTTTACATGCTGTTGCGAGCGCCGTAAAACTCTTACTAAAACAAAACAAAATGCAACACACACAGAAACAAACATTGCATTTCACCGAAGCATTCAATGACATTTATTTCAAACCCTGACATACACATGCATGCCTATGTGTATTGCGAAAGAGCTACCTGCAAGCACAACAAACTAAACATTTGTTCATTATTAAATGGAAACATCTTTACCAATCTCCATTCCCCGGGAGGTTGATAAACTATTGTTAGAGTTGGCTTTCTGTGCGTTCTTTGTCTTTTCATGAGTGCTGGCAAATGCAGTGATTGCCGATCCTCACTGGTACAAAGGAATTGTAGCTACCTTTGTCCACTAAGATCCACTGAATGCGCTCCTTCAGTGAACAGACTCCATGTGGGGCACAAGATTTGCCCAGGCTGACGAAAAAGAGGGATGGACAGTTTTAACAAAGAGCTCTGCTTTCTTAAAAGAGGATGCCTAGTGTCATCAACATTATCAACACTTTAACCATTGCCATCCACAACACGAGGGCGGAAAAGTGGAGGAAAAGTTTTTAGAGAGGAATGTTTATTTGAAAACAGGCACATCACATAACACAGAATCTTTTACCCTTGTTGTCAAGACAGAAATGGGCTCACTATTAGCTCAGTTGATATCACGCTGAACTGCAGTCTGGAATGACACTATTACTAATTACCGGCAGGTCGTTTCTAGCCCAGCGTCCCCTTCGCTCTGTCACAATAGAAACTAACGTTAAACTGGTTCTAAAATAGATTACAGTGCTTCAATGTTTCACCGCCCAGGACTTACCTTTCACAGGACGCCTCGTGAACCAGCTGGTATGAGTCCGTGTTGTGGACAACATTGTAAGAGGAGCCGTCATACACTGAAACAACGCTGGAGGGGACGGTGAAAGTCATCTTGCTGTGGGAACAGAACCTAAATTAATGGAAAACGAAAATGGATAAACGGTCATAACCATAAACTTGAGTTGTTCAGTTTGTGCTTTCAACGAGTGCATTGCTTTTACATAAGTATACGTTTTTTCTTTAATTAAAAAAAATGTCAAATCAAACAATAGGCTCCATTTTGAGCAGGAACCATTTTTTAAGATGATACGTCCTTTAGAAAAATGACCAGTCTAGTTTGTTTTATTGGTTTGAGATCTAAAGTTGCATTCTGCCTAAACCTGGAAATGTGACTTTGGTCGTCTTTCCATTATGGACTTCAATTTATCTCGACTTTTAACAGTCTAAATCTAGCAGCTTTGACACAACAGAATATAAATTTGGTCTGAGACAATATCGGTTCTAGTGTGGCGTTAATTTATAGCTAGCTCAGCAACAAAAAAAGCCCCAAAGTATGCTAATTGGAAGGAGGGGATGTTATCCCCCCATAAACACTACACACACAGGAAACGTTTCTTCTTGAACTTGGTGTGTTGGTCATGCTGGCGAACATTGCACTACACCCCAGCCAGCACATACACCAGGATTATCCCAACATTGTTTGAATAAAGCGTGTTTATTGACTGTCAAACGAAAGTCAAGGCAATGTCTATACAAAATAAAACAACAACCCAACATAAAATGATCTACTCTGGAAAAAAACAACCGAAAGAGCACCACTACCAGCATGCTGAAAGCAATCATGTGGCAACGGAAATACAAGTGGTATTCAGAAAGTAGGTACCGTTTTGAAATTAAGAGAGAAGTAGTGATCATTTACCCCCATGTGATGGGGGAGGTTGGGGGGGGGGGGGTTAAAGTCTGCCAGACTTCCTTTCTTTCGACATTGTCGCCTCCCTTATTCATGTAGTAGTTTTCAAAGCGTGATGCGAGGTTGTTTGTACACCCTCCTTGTCCCCTGTGAAGTTTGTCAGAATTTTGTTACCTCTTGCAATTCGTCGACCGAGTCAAATCGCTGACCGGCAAAAAAAAACTTTCAGTTTCAAGAACATAATGGTGTTCACATGGTACCAAGTCAGGGCTGTAATGTGTGTACTTCAACTGTTCTCAGCTGATTTTTCAAAAGTAAGATTTTGGATCCGAGTAGACGTGTGCGGTTTCGCATTGTCATGAAGCGAAAGTCATTCCCTGGCGCAGTATCCCTCGACTTTTATTTTGAATTGCTATTTGCAATTTCGCTACGGCTTTGCAGCAAACATCCGAAGTAATTCTGGCTGACGTCTAGGGCAGCAACTTTGTATGGAAAGGGTGTCAAGAAACTCGCGTCCCTGTGTGAAAAAGGCCTGAACAAAGCAAGCGACTACGTCGCAAAAAAATTGTAGAATTAAGTCTGGCAGATTTGATATAATATAATTTGGGAGTCACTGATCACTATTTTTCTCTAAATTTCAAAACCGCCAGCACCCACTTTCTGAATGCACCTCATTATAACACAATTTGCCTTGAATGTGCTACCAAATAAATATGTAAATGAAGTTGGCAACGCAGTAAGCTCAGTTTTTGTCATTGGGATATGGACCACCATGGTTTCATTTTCCAATCAGACATTCTTGAACATGCCTTGTTCGATGAGCATGCAATGCTTTCTACCTGCCTAGCCAGAAGATAAGAATCATAAACCACTCAACAATGTAGGGAACCGGCATCAAGACCTGCTATACCACACAATAAATTAACTTACGTCTCACAGCATGTGTTGCCATACTGCACTGAGGACCGTTGTTTACACGTTGGCTGACTGTTGCTGCTTTTCAAACGGTGACTTTTCAATGATTCATTACTGGCGCAGATTCCAGGGAAATCGTAGCTGAACTTGACATTGTCGATTTTGAAGACCTCACCAAGATCTCGGCTCTGCGACATTGTGCGAATTCGCTCATCGCTGAGAAAGAGGTTGTTGTAGCGTTCCTCCAGGGGAATGTTGCAGTCGACAGGGTTCGTATGTGGCTGCAGTGATTTCACATAAGGCTGCGGTTCACTTCTCTTTCTGGAGCCTTTTCTAGAAACAAAAGTACGACAAAAACCATTGAATAGCCTACTCTATAAATGTCTTTGCAATGCATGTACCTTAACATAACATGTCTAATAAAAGACAAAAGTGAAAGGAAATAGCAAGGAAGGATGAGAGATCACCTTTCAAAACTTTCCCAAGATTTATATGAGTGGCAGACTGTGTTATCCATGCACCTCTAAGTGTGAAGAAGATAAAGCGAGTATTGTACGAGAATTGAGGACCATTCTGCGTTTTTATTTATCCTTTTGTCTAGTTGTTCATGCGTTTAGCTTGCCAACTGGCTATCTGGCCGCCTTTGCGCTAACCTGTTCTACAACAAAGCCAAATCTTGAGTAAGTCACCAAATCCCGTATTAATTACATTAAATAATCAGTCATTGTGAAGACGTGTAATAAACCAGACAATTATGAAAAGAATGATTATCTTTTTCAATTATCATTACAACCAAAATTTGGTTTGGAGGTTGAACACACTTTTCAGAAACCTTCAGAGCTCTTATAAAATGTTTTTGTACGAAATGTTTGATTTGAATTAACTACTACTAATGAAGAAATCTCAGCCCATAATACTATGCAGTTTAAGTACCCATTTAGATTTTAAAAGCCAGTGTCGCAACGGTGACAAAGCACAGTTGGTAGTGCGTTTGATTTCATGTCTATGCTGAATGGGTGTTAACTCGATCGAACATAAATGCCCGTTAATATGTTTAACCCTATCCGCACGCCCTGGGGTCATTTTGTACCCCCGGGTTTGTATTTTTCACAATGTGGAATACTTCTAGTACGAAGATCTCTTTGCAACTTTCAGTATTCTCAAAAAATCTTTTTGACAGACTGCTATGCAAAGCGTAGCTATGCAAAGTGTACGGATCGGATTAACGAGTAAATTTCCTCTTTGAAAGTGGCGGCACAGAGTTCCCCACGTCGTATGGAAACGATAGTAACACACGACGTACGGATAGGGTTAAGCTACGTGTTAAATATTGTCTCGACTTTTCGCATGTATATTTTGCAAGACAATATCTATTTCTCAAAATAAACATTCTGTTTTATCTTTAATACTCTAAAATACATTTGATTTAAATGTTTAATAGAGAAAGCAATACTTCTTCGGCAAAGCCGATTCTTGCAATACCTTGCATGAAGAGCAATGTAAAATAAAAACGTTCATACTAAACACATTACAATTCCTTTTTACCTTTATGCTGTTTTAATATTATTTCAATGCCCCCCACAAACCATTAAGTCCAACCTTGAAATAGAATAGTCCATATCCACATTTTGCAACAGTTCAATAATTTGAACATAACTCTGGTAGAAGCCATTCATATTAATTAATGTCAAGAGATTTTTTTTCAGCAAAAAACAAACTCCGATATCCCGTACGGTGAAGCAATGCCCTATAATTTCTTATACAGACAACACATATGAGAAAACGTCAAAATTGCTTACACTAAGCTTGTGCCGGCAAGAAGGAGAACCACAGCCACAACCTTCATGTGTGTTATGTTGACTTTTCCATTTACTTGGACCATCTGAAACAGAAGAGAAAGTAAAGAAGAGGGGAAAAATTAGGCCCTAACCCTCCGGAGATGTTGTGACCCTCGTCGTGCTACAAATCAGACTGTCGCGGAAAGCG